TTTTTAAGATATTACTCAATCAATAAAAAATATTATTTTCAAAACTGATATTTTAATACATCAATAAATGTTGAACATAAATTTTCAGACTGATTTTATTTTATATTCCTTAAATATTATGAGTAAAGATTTAAATTTAAATAATTTACTTCATATCTTAGTCATCAATTCCAGGGAAATACAATGATTTGAGTTAGTGAGTATATATAAACTATTAGATTTTTCTAAAATTGATGACTAAGATGTTGAGTAAGTTTTTTAAACTTACTCTTAGAGTAAGTGGATTCACTCGCAAATAATATTATTAAAATGTTTGTTAATGCATGCCATTCATGTTTATGAGGTTAAGATGATTATATTTATTAGGTTAAGATGTTAAGGTGGTTAGTTTAATGAATGAATTGGAGGTTGAGAGTTTGATTCTTACCCACAACAAAATAAAAAGTCATAAAGTGGTTTGATGATTAAGATGAATATTTAAGGAATGAAGCGAAAAATGATAAGGATTTGAATATCACGTACAACAAAAAATAATATACTAACATTTGTTAATAAAAAAAATAATGTTTTTAGATTTTGAATGTGAATGCTTTTTAAGCCTTACAAAGACAAATTTTGATATAGTATATTTTTTTATTAGTAGAAGACAACTACAATCTGATTATAAGATATTTCTAATCAACTTATACTAAAAGCTATATTTTTTAAAAGATATACTATACCATTATAATTATAACCTCCTAAATCTATTCATCCACTTTAAAAGATAAGGGCAAATAAGAGAGAAATAGAAAGTTTGCATAGAAAATGTAAATTTCTTATTAAAAGGCTGCCAAAATTTTCTAAATAATGTCATATGATCCTTCTTATAAAGTATCATCTACAATTTTTAATGATCATTTTTTACAAGACACATGATAATTTCTATGAAACATTTATTGTTGTATTTGCCAAATGTTTTTACTATCCATCCTTTTAGCACTTCACTCTCTTCAAGAATAACATGGGTAAAATTTTAATTAGAAATTAGAAATGATGTATAACACAGGTTAGAGGAAGTATACATCTAATTTCTCTGACTCATAAGGTGGTCTGTAGGTTAGAATAAAGAATTTAATGAATTGAATGAATAAGATTATAAGTTCGAGTCTCGTACACAACAAAAATGATGATAAAGGTGAAGGATTGAAATAAAGGAGGATGATGGTTTGAGTTTCGCTCACAACAAATACTTAGATACTAATATTTGTCTATCAATTTTTTTTTTGCTAAATAACTTATTTTATAACTAGTAAAATTGACTTTATTTTTTTCCAGGTGTGTATATGTTTTAAGACTTAATATATTTAGCAATTTCATTCAACTCCAACTAATCAAAATTAAATTAAAAGGACATGTTTAAGATATAAACAATAGTGTATTTTTATAATGTTTGTTATAAGAGAAGAAGAAGAGAAAGTGAGAAGAGAAAAATGATGTTATACTTCAAATGACAAGAATATCCCTAAATGAAGAAAAAAGAGGAAAAATTGTTGTTTTATTATTAATTAAAAATAAAAGTTATAATTTTAAATTATAAGTTTTACTATAATATCACTTGATTTTTTAATTCATATTTTGTATATCCAAAATAGATTGATTAGATATTCAAAAATGTTGTTTTATATTATTAGTATTTAAAAATAATAATTAGAGAAAAATAATTGAAGGATATTTTTGGTATTTGATATCAAATCATATTTCTCTTCCACTTTCTCACCAACTTAGAAGAGAAAAGAATTGATGTGGGTCCCACACTTTTTTACCCTATTTTCTCTTTACCAAATGAGAGAAAATCTCTCTTTCTCTTCATTCTATCTCTCACTCATTTTTCTCCACTCTAACTCTATTGCAACCAAATGAAGGCTAAGCCTTCCTTTGGTAGAGTAAAAATAGAAGAGAAAGAGAATGAGATGAGATAAGTTGAGTAGAAACATAACATTTCTTTCATTTGGTTTAGGGGAGAGTTTGAAGAGAGGGAAAAAAAAGGGGTGAGACCCATCAATATGTATTTTTCATTCTAAGTGAGGAGAAAATGAGAGGAGAAAAGAATCAAGATTTGTTTTCTCAAATTATATCTCAGAACAATGATATTGAAGCAAAAAAATAAAAGATAATGAATATTTTAATAATTTTAAATGACATGAATGTTTTTATTTATCCGGGACAATGATTTGATACATAATTTGGGACAACAAATCATTTTCAAGGGAAGGGGGGGAGAAACAATCATTTCTTTCTCTTCTTTTTCTATAAAACCAAACAACATTAAAATTCACTCTATTTCTCTCTTTTCAATTTCTCTCTCACATATTTCTTTCTTCTTATTTTCTTCCTTCAACTAAAGAAACCTAAGTTAATTACAGAGCTAGGAAATATAAGACACTATGAAAGCTTTTATTTTAATGGGCAATTCTCTAACCCTCTCTTTGGTCCAATAGAAATAGAAGAGAAAAAGAAAGGGAAGAGACAGTTTGAAAAAAAAAACATAAACTTTCTCTTCTCTTGTTTAACAAAGAAAGTGGGAGGAGAAAATAAAAGTGTGATGGGTTCCACACAAAATTGTTTCTCTTAATTGATAGAGAGAAAGTACGGGTCAAAAGTTATTTTAATATGAAATGACAAAACCATTCTTAACCTTTTGAATTAAGTTACCTTTACTTTTACTGCATGAATATTTGTGTAATTCAAAAAGTCATATCTGTCATTTTCTCATATCTTTCTTTTCTATTTCTCTCCAACCAAACAATAAAATAATATACTCTATTTCTCATAATATTCTTTCTCTTCCCTCTCCTTCTCACCTTTCTCCTTTCTCTCATTTTCTACTCTCCAAGCAAACAAAGCCTAACACTTTGTTTGGTAGAGGAGAGTTAGGGAAGAGAGAAATGAAGGAGAGAGAAACTAAAGAGAAAATAGAATTTTCTCTCACTTAGTTGAGAGGAGAGAAAGAATGAAGAGAGTAAAAAGTAGGTGAGTTCCATAAAAAATATTTCTCTCCACTTGTGAGAAGAAAGTGAGAGAATAAATAACACATTTCTCATACCTTTCTTTATCTACGCTATCTTTACCACCTCATTTTTTCTATTAGTGAGAGACATACTCAATCAAAATAATACGATTCTTTTTTTGAGTTTTTTTGTTCCCTTTTGTTCTTGTCTAGAAGGAACAACAGTATATGCGAATTCCTTTTTGTAGTGCAATTTTCTGAGTCGGATTAAGTTAAATATTGGAAGCTTATGTATATTTGAATTGTTGAAAAAATAGTTTGTTTAACCGCTAAATTTAGGAAATCATAAGATGATTAAGTAGTAAAGGTGGAAGACTTAAAGGAGTTGAGTGATAAGTATATTGAAGGTTAAAATTTCAGTCACCACAAAATACTAACATACTAACATTTGCCAATAAAAAACTGCTAAATTTAAAACTTGATATTCTTAAAGATATAAAACTTATTATTATTTCCCGGGACCATTTTTATTTTTAGATTTATTGATTTAATATTTGACATACATATTCTAATGTATTAATAATTAATTCATATCTTTCAACTATTATTCTGATGTTCTATTCACAAACTATTAGTTTCAGCAAACCATCTTCATTGAATTATTAAGGATTAAATAAATACAATTTTATTTAGTTATACTTTTGCTCCTTATTTTTTTTTGTTTCCGTTTAGATTCTATCATTCTACAAAAACAAAAAATTAGTGTGTTTTAGACGAGTAAGATTCATCTCTATTAATGGAAAAACAAATACCAAAAAATCAAAGAAAGTGGAAGATGCAATGTCACTTTTACCCTTTTTATTTAAAAGATGATTACAACTTTACCCTTACAATACACATAAAAAATTCATTTTTCTCTCTATTAATGGAGATGAGCATATAGAATGTCATTAAGCACCTTCTTTTTACATCATTAAGGAATAAAATGAGGTAAATTTAAATAAACAGAAACATATTTAAACCAATAATGAAGTAGTTAAATTTGAATTTGAAAAATTGCAAATAGGACACGAGCATGTGGAAACCCTAGATTTGTGTTTGTGTTGTTTATACCTCAAACCTAATAAGGTATGCATTAGAGAGGGCAGAATAGGTGCACTGAGAAAGAAAGGATCCCCCACTAATATTCAGCAACCTAGCTAGCTATGTAGTAGTAGTAGTAGTAGCAGCTACTACTCTATTAACCTATACTCATACCTATACAAACTCCTCATCATGCTCCTGCTCTGCTATTCCTTTTTAGCTTTCTTAGCTCTGCAAACTTTGAATTTTCCCCTTGACTCTACTGTGCATGTATCAATCATCCTTCCTTTATTTCACTGTTACACAATGTCATCTACCTATCTCTTTAATAACCCTCTTTATCTAACTCTTTAACATATCTCCAATTCTTCTCTATATATATTTCTCCTACTAAGTGAATATACCATCAGGTAGATGCACTTCTTCTTAGTTCTTGCTCATTCTCAAGTGTGTTCAATCATATATACGAGTGACTTGCATCTTATCCTTTCTTTCTTTTCTTCATTAAAGTTTGGTTTGTATAGATAGATATATAATTGCATTAGCTTTTCCGAATGTCATCTTTTTTCATCTACACCCCAAGTCTTTCATTCTAATATTTATTTTCTTTGTTAGCTTCATATAATATGGAAAGGAAATAAATGGATACTGGTGGACGAATGATCCACATCTAACTTTTTTATCATTATACATTCTAGAATATTTCCAAGATATCTCATAATACTCGATCGTATCTTCATTCTTAAAAATCCTATAACATAACACCTTCGGTTTTTGCAAGTGTTTCGGTGTTTTATCCAACAAATTGTAGTGTATCTCTTCGGTTGCAATGTTCTCTTTATAGTAGTGTTACACATATAATTTGCATAACTCATATAAACCTGGAGAGAGTGAAGCCTGATATCCGTACAAGCAATGTTAATTGTTCACAAAGGAAAAAGTGAAGCTGCCAGCGTGATCTAGCTTTGGTTAGAGAGCTGAGTTGAATTATTCATGTGAGTAGTGTGTGTTGCTATTTAACCCTAACTAGGTCATGCTGTGACAGCTTCACTCCTTCCTATTTGGGGACCCATATGACAATACATTCCTAAAGATCTGAAACATGAAAGGTAAAAAAGGTGAGTTGTTAAGTTATATATGATAATCACAGATCTGTTAGCTATAGCATCGTATATTCCTTTTCCGAGTTTCTATTCTGTCAGGCGTGCATTTTTAACCTTTTTCCCTTTTTCAATTACTTGGTTTTTTTTTTCATTATTTCCCCCTTTTCTTTTGTTGTTTCTAATCCTAAGATTTGACGACCTAGCTTACTAGTAAAAGTTCTTCCTACAATTGTGTTGTTAGAAGTTGAACTTTTGGAAGAGTAGGTATTGTTCATATTGAGTTCTGTCCACTTTTATTTCTGAGTAAATTAATCTTCATTATTTTTACCTAGTCAATCTTAAAGACAAAACTAACCAGGTAATCAGGTTCCCTTCTTTGGAAACCTGTAGGGTTGTACTTTGATGTTGAAGTTACTTATATGCTGTTGGTAAGTTATATAAAGCATTCATACTTTTAAAATGGTTATCATATCCAATACTTCAATACTTTTAATTAATATATTTCTTTCCTATATCACTTAATTATCTTCCCATTTTTTCAATGTAATTGCACTGTCATACTTTTTAATAATGATTTTACACTGTTTAGCACGAATATCTTATATGCAAGATGAAACTTTAATAAATAAGGATTTGAAATCTGATAATCTAATTGATTGAGTTAGAAGTATCTCATAAAAATTATTTGATATGTTTAAATGACATTAATTCTCAACTTAAAAACTGCCTCAAACACCTTGCGTTGTCAAATAGTGGAATGTAAACTTAGTAGCTTTTTGAAATAAGTCCTTTTATGAGCAACTTATTTTTAAGCAAGTTAATTATTTTTTTGTGATTTTATTACTGTAGTAATGTGTATAATATTGTATCATGCAGTATCTACGTTTCTTAGCTGGACAGTTTTATATATATGTAGTGATTAAGGGTCACAGAATATGGTGAAGACATGTCCGTGATCAGTACACAGTTTTCCATTTTATTATGTTGCATTGGTTATGTAACATAAAATGATGAAGAACATCACAAGCTGTGGATATTGCTATTAAAAGACTAAAACAAAGTATATGGAAACAATAAGGATCCCTTCTTTTGAACCCTATAGGAACCTGTTGCGTCTTTCGTTCCGTGCTTTCAATTAATTGCAGTTTTATAAGTACCAGCTCTTTATTTCAAGGTCCAGAATATCCAAGGTTGCTCATATTCTGCCATCGGAAATTGAAATCTCAATAATTATTTGCCAATATTTAATCTGTTATTTTTTAAGAATATTAGAACTTGTCATATATAAAGGAAGTTGCACCCGCATCAAGAAATATTATTGGATATTTTATTTATCATATAGTTTTATTTTATTATTGAATTTTTAAGAATATGACAATCCAGTCACTAGTAACTTTTAATCTTTTATATGACATGTCTATATTATTGTTATAATTTTTATATAAAAATTGTGAGTATAATATCTATGTATTTTTAGTGTAAAGATTTATACATAGTTAGTATATCATTAACTATTTATTTGTATTAATTTTTTCAACATTCAATAATGATTAAATATGAATTTTGAATGATATAATGATAGTGTATAAAATTTTACACTCTGAACATAAATTTTTTCCTCAAGAATTATTATCATGTAAGTATACATGAAATGAATATGGTGAGAACACTTGTTACTGTGAAAAATGAAAACAGTTAATATGTATATTTGGATCTTATTTAAATGATTAAGATTAAAAGAAATAATCATGTGATCAATAACTAACTTTTAATCCAAACAATCCTTGTATGATTGTGAAGGCTAGATTTATTATTATACTTTATATTATATATGAAGTGATTCAAGTGAGAACAATTTTCATATAAAAACTGTAATAACAATATATATAGGCCTATAACTAATCATGGATGGTTAAGATTAAAAGTTAGTTATTAATCACAAATAAGATCTAATAGTTTATATCAATTGTTTTCATTTCTCACAATACACATTATTCTCACTTGACTATAATATATATATATATATATATATATATATATATATATTTATACTAATATGTAAAGTCAATACATGTTTTAACTTCCAAATTGGTATAATTTTTCTATCTAATTTACCCTTGCACAATTTTTTATTTTCATAATTTAATTTGGAGATAGAGGGGTTGTAAATGTACATTAATTCTCATTGGTAACTCCCATTTGTAACCTCTGAAGGATGATAGAATTGCAGTTTAAAATTGCTCTTTTAATATTGAGAGTAACTGAGTATTTATCATGGGCACATGGGCACCAGTTTCACTATCTAAAGCTAAAACCATTGGCTTGAACCCTCGACGATAACTAAAAGAGTGAGAGAATAAGGAAGAACATCACATGAGGAAGGTGTATTCTTTTTTCATTGTTTAATGGATTGGAGTGTAAACATGTCCTATTTGAGTGTGTTAACAAGGAAGTGCTTCTATGAACCCAACTCTTCATGTCGGTGATCGTGTTTTAGTTGAGAAGGTTTGTTTGTAATTATTTGTTTGTTGAGTTTTTCTATGTCTTATTTTTATTTTGCTTAAACTGGTTTGGTTGTGTTTGTTATTGGTGGAACAGGTTTCTTTCTTATTTAGATAGTCTGATGTTTCACATATTGTGATTTTTAAGGCACCTCCTATTTCACGGGTATTATAAATTTGTATGATTTCTTTTACTATATTAAATGTGAAGTGTTTGTCAATAATGATAACCTTATTTGATGTGGAATTTGGTTTTTCTTCATGTGATGTATTTATAAAAAGGATTGTGGCTAAGGAAGAGGACTATTGAAGTGAGTAATTTGTTGATTACATTATAATTATTGTAAAATTAATCGTTGACTTGAAAAAAGTCAAAAATTTATTACAGTCATACAGATTATTAAAATGCAATGCAAGATAAATCTTTGAATACGTTTCTAAGAAGTAATAATAATTGTTATCACCTCTGTAGAGAGTTCTATGGTCATTTTAAAGAGGGAATGAGTTCTCAAATCTATAAGATTTCATGTGCTTTCTTTCCACATAAATGTCTTAGTTTATTCACAAATAGGAATACTATATTGATTTTGTCTTTTCACTCTTTCAAAATTATTCCAACTATGATAATGATCTTTGACATATGGAAGTTTGCTCAACATCACTAATGTAAGCCATAAACCATCTCTCATGACTCATAATATGATGCAACATAAATTTGTTAAAGTAAGAAGAGTATAGACTTGAATAAATGCTTTATAACTACATAACACCAAAATTAACATAAATTGGAAGCTTTCATCTTTGTTAGCACAACTCATCTTTCACCTTCCAAATATTTATAGTTCAACGATGATTTTTACATGAATTGAATGATGTTATATATATAAACAGGCTCTTTGAACATTTTCTCAATGATTTTTTAAGAATTAAATGATGTTGCATAAATAGATCAGTCGTTTAATAGAATTTTTTAATTTGTTTGTAGTTTGCTTTTTGTTTTCTTAAAGCAAATTAATTCATAATGAACTAAAACTTTAATTTCTTTACTATTGTTGTTCTATATTATTTTGACCTTTTGTTTTTGCCATTGCTTCATATTTTCATATGGGGTATATGGTTGATGGTGAAATTAAAAAAAAACAGCTTCTCTTTTTTGGGATGAGTAATGTTGGTATCCTATTTTTTATAATCATGATATATTCATGACATAAATCTAACTATTATACCATTTCTAAGGTGCTTCATAAAATATTTTCTACATTTTTTTAGATGACATATTTTGATTTGATGCAAGTTCATTGGAGAAGTTTAATTAGAATGTGAAAGTGTGTATGTTGTAGTACCTTTTTTTAAAGAAACATTTTGCTTTAATCAATGACCAACATATATTTTGCCATTATTAATCTCTATTTTAATTTCTACCAAAAAAAATCATATAACTCACTTCCTCATTTTATGTTTCATGTTTGTTGATGTAATTTTTCCATTTGAAGAGAACATGGATCATGACAATATTTGAACACATCAGTTTATCTTTTTTCATTTTTTAATATGCAAAGTTGCAAATCATGTTTTGTTGTTTTTGTTATAGTTATGCCTATAAAAATACAAGACAATGCACACAAATTTTGCTTCACTTTTACTTTCATTTCCCATTATATACACTTTCCCTCTCCATTTTTTCTCCTTGATTTTCTTCCGCCCTTCATGTATTTTTATTTTCTTTCATGTACAAATGACAATTGCATAACTTATGGGTTATGTTTTCCTATAAAGTCTACATTTCATGACGACCTTAGTGATATTTCAATAGTTGGATAATGTAAATTAGCTTTTGTTCTATATTATGGTTCATAATAATTTATGTTGATTTATCCAACTCTTACCCCTCCATAATTTGTTGTATAAACAATATTATACATTGAGTTGTTTCATTGGATATTTACTACATGTAGATTATACATTACAAATGATAGAAAAGCGGGTTGACAGACACGGCAGTGCCTGTCAACACGCTAGTATATATAAACTCAATATATTATAGTTAAAGGTACTATGTACTAGATAATAGAGTTAATAATAAATACATTAATGAGCATAAAGCTGGGCAATTCTCGCTTGAGCGAGAGGATCTCGCTCAAGTGAGAGACTCAGTGTTTTGTGGTGTAAGTTTTCTGAGAGCCTCGCCCAAGTGAGGAAGACATCGCTCAAGCGATAGAGACCTGGATAAGCTATGAGATTCTCGTTTGAGCGAGAGAATCTCGCCCAGGAGAGAGCATCAGAGTTTGGAAATGTAAAAAGTCGTAGGTTTCTCGCCCAAGCGAGTCATTCTCGCCTAAGTGAGAACACGGTAATCTGAAACCTAAAATAGAAGTCCCAAGTGAGAATAGGTAAATCGTTTAGCTTAACCTCCATTATTGTTGTGTACCTTGTTTATGAAAAGTGGGTCTCTTCTCTA